AGATGAAGAAAGGACTATCCATCAATTATAAGAAGACATCAATTAAAAGACTATCCATCAAGAAGACAGAATGTATGGTTGTCAGCAAAAAAAGGCCAGAATTACAACCAACATATAAATTGTAAGAAGACAGAAATGGTTGTACAAAAAAGGCCTGCCCAACATATGAATTGTAACTTGGTAAAAAAAAGAAAGCGTGAAGAAAGGACTATCCATCAATTGTAAGAAGACAGAATGTATGGTTGTCAGCAAAAGGGCCCAACATACGAACACAACTTGAGGGTGTAAAATTACAATCCATCAGGTGTAAAAGACAGAATGTATGGTTGTGCAAAAAAGGAAAGGACGAATTACAATCCATCATGTAAGAAGACAGAAATTGTCAGCAAAGACAGTAAAAATGAATGAGTTGTCAATTGTAAGAAGATAGAATGTAAAAGGACTGCCCAACATAAGAAGTGAAAAGACTATCCATCAATTGTAAGAAGACAGAATGTATGGTTGTCAGCAAAAAGGCCTGCCCAACATACGAATTACAACTTAGAGGGAGTAAAAGAAAGCGTGAAGAAAGGACTATCCATCAATTGTAAGAAGACAGAATGTATGGTTGTCAGCAAAAAGGCCTGCCCAACATACGAATTACAACTTGGAGGGTGTAAAGAAAGCGTGAAGGTTGTCAGCAAAAAAAAAAGAGAAGAAAGGACTATCCATCAATTGTAAGAAGACAGAATGTATGGTTGTCTGCAAAAAGGCCCAACCCCAACATACATCAAATTACATGGTTGTCAGCAAAAAGGTGTAAAAAAAAAGGGAGTAAAAGAAGAAGAAAGGACTATCCATCAATTGTAAGAAGACAGAATGTATGGTTGTCAGCAAAAAGGCCTGCCCAACATACGAATTACAACTTGGAGGGAGTAAAAAAAAGCGTGAAGAAAGCACTATCCATCAATTGTAAGAAGACAGAATGTATGGTTGTCAGCAAAAAGGCCTGACCAACAATGAATACAACGAATTACTATCCATCAATTGTAAGAAACTTGTATGGTTGTCAGCAAAAAGAAATTACAACTTGGAGGGAGTAAAAGAAAAGAAAGGACTATCCATCAATTGTAAGAAGATAGAATGTATGGTTGTCAGCAAAAAGGACAACCGAAGAAAACATATCAATTGTAAAGACTATCCATCAAAAAAGAAGACAGAAGAAAAGGGTTATCCAGCAAAAAACAAGACAGCCAAAAAGGACAGCCCAACATACGAAGAAAATATCCATCAATTTAAGAAGACAGGTATGGTTGTCAAAAAGGAAAGAACTATCCCAACGTGAAGAAAGGAACTATCCATCAATTGTAAGAAGACAGAATCCATAGTTGTCAGCAAAAAGGACAAAAATAAAAAAGGACTATCCATCAATTGTAAGAAGACAGAATGTATGATTTTTCAGCAAAAAGGACAGCCCAACATACGAATTACAACTTGGAGGGTGTAAAAGAAAGCGAGAAGAAAGGACTATCCATCAATTGTAAGAAGAGAGAATGTATGGTTGTCAGCAAAAAGGACAGCCCAACATAATAAGTAAAGACTATCCATCAATTGTAAGAAGACAGAATGTATGGTTGTCAGCAAAAAGGCCTGCCCAACATACGAATTACAACTTGGAGGGAGTAAAAGAAAGCGTGAAGAAAGGACTATCCATCAATTGTAAGAAGACAGAATGTATGGTTGTCAGCAAAAAGGCCTGCCCAACATACGAATTACAACTTGGAGGAAGTAAAAGAAAGCGTGAAGAAAGCACTATCCATCAATTGTAAGAAGACAGAATGTATGGTTGTCAGCAAAAAGGCCTGACCAACATACGAATTACAACTTGGAGGGAGTAAAAGAAAGCCTGAAGAAAGCACTATCCATCAATTGTAAGAAGACAGAATGTATGGTTGTCAGCAAAAAGGCCTGCCCAACATACGAATTACAACTTGGAGGGAGTAAAAGAAAGCGAGAAGAAAGGACTATCCATCAATTGTAAGAAGATAGAATATATGGTTGTCAGCAAAAAGGACACCCCAACATACGAAGAAAGGACTATCCATCAATTGTAAGAAGACAGAATGTATGGTTGTCAGCAAAAAGGACAGCCCAACATACGAAGAAAGGACTATCCATCAATTGTAACAAGACAGAATGTATGGTTGTCAGCAAAAAGGACAGCCCAACATACGAAGAAAGGACTATCCATCAATTGTAAGAAGTCAGAATGTATGGTTGTCAGCAAAAAGGACAGCCCAACATACGAATTACAACTTGGAAGGAGTAAAAGAAAGCGAGAAGAAAGGACTATCCATCCACTGTAAGAAGACAGAATGTATGGTTGTCAGCAAAAAGGACAGCCCAACATAAGAAGTAAAGACTATCCATCAATTGTAAGAAGACAGAATGTATGATTTTCAGCAAAAAGGACAGCCCAACATACGAATTACAACTTGGAGGGAGTAAAAGAAAGCGAGAAGAAAGGACTATCCATCAATTGTAAGATGACAGAATGTATGTTTGTCAGCATAAGGAAAGAGGGATTAAAAAACTAACCTATCTAATGAGCTTGTGTAAATGGATGGCGGAAGAAGTTTTAGGAGAGATAGCAAAAAGGCAAAATTTACTAAGAGCTACAAAGGACAGATGACTGTTAAGAGCCATGTGTGACAATGTCCTGAAGTGGCATTGCACATAGAAGAAAATTTTGAATGATTGAATATATAAAAATGACAATAAGTTCCTCGCTAAAAAATAGTTCAGGCTGATGGCAATTAAATTAAGATATTAATGAAGAATAATACAAATCATAAGATAACAAATATAATGAAAATATCCATGTAAAAATCATTTGGATTAGCTTCATTATGTTATTCTCTTTCATGTTTGGTTTCCACATAATTAAAATAATTTGTTTCAGCTTGGTTATGTTAGTCACTTTGATGTTTGTCTTCCTTATAAGCAGGAAAATCATTTACATCAGTTTGATAATGTTTGATATGTGGAAGTTGAAGTTCAAAACTTTACTCAGCTGTGTTTCTGTACGCGATTCGCAACTTAATTAAAAATGAAAATCTCATAGATATCACAGTTAAGAGGTGTGCGGAGCTAATTTGCAACATCAATTTTGACGACACAGGCTGGAGGCAGGCAAAGCTCCCTTTGGGTTTCGGAGGCCTGGGGCTTCGATCAGCGGTAGATTTGGCCCTTCCAGCATATCTTTCTTCACTTTCGTCCAGTCACGAATTAATTGATGAGATACTCGGTGGATTATCTCAGTGTTTCTCGGGTAGTTCTTTCGAACAAGCTTGCAGCGTCTGGACCCAAGAATTACTTTCTCTCCCACTAGACACATCAAAACAAAAAAGCTGGGATAAAATAAAATGCGAGGCCAATTTTACTAATTTGAGTCTCTCTCTGGATCAGCATCGCCTCGCCTGTCTACTATCTGCTTCACAACCGAATAGTGGCGCCTGGCTCAACGCAGTGCCCTTTTCATCTACCGGTACCCTTCTAGATGATGAGTGCACTCGAGTCGGAGTCGGGATCCGTCTTGGTCTCAAATTATGTGAGCGTCACAGATGCAGATGTAGAGCTTCCATCGATGAGTTTGGTTTGCATCCTCTCTCCTGTCGTCGTAGTGCCGGCCGCTTTCCACGGCATGCAGCAATAAACGACATCATCAAAAGAGGTTTGGATGCAGCTGGGTTCCCTTCCCAAATCGAACCCGTAGGCCTCGACCGCGGTGATAGAAAGCGGCCGGATGGCATTACCATTTTCCCTTTTAAAATGGGGAAGTCGTTGATTTAGGGTGCGACCTGTGCGAATACATTTTCGGTCGGTAATTTGATCAGGTCCGCGATTGAGCCGGAGTCCGTCGCCCGGGATGCAGAGATGAAAAAAATAGTTAAATATTATTCTCTTGCTGATAGATTTTTTTTTTTTTTTAACCTGTGTCAGTGGAGACTTCAGGGGTTATTGGCCCTCGTTCGATGACGTTCCTTCGGAGTATTGGCGCGATTGCGTCTCGATTAAGGGACGAGCCTCGTGAAACGGAGTGGCTCTTGCAGCGTGTCTCACTGGCGATGGTTCGAGGTAAGGCTTTCTCCATCATTGCGGCTGGCAGAGGATAGAAAAAAAAATGTTTATAGTTACGTTGTTCTGGAATTGTCATCAGTGACTGAACTTCTTTTGTTTCAATAAATTTATTCTCCTGTTTTATTATAGACATTTAAGAATGTTTGCGGAGAAAAGATTCTTAAATGCCTATAATTGATATATATATTTGGGCAGCAAAACTTTTAACCTTCTTTAACAGTGGAAATGGAGTGTTAAAATATATATATATATATATATATATATATATATATATATATATATATATATATATTTAGGCATTTAAAACAGCACGATTGGCCGCATACACAATTCCGGAAAATCATCGTTGAAAACACAACTATAATTAAACATGAAAACAATAAACAAAAACTAAAAATTCTTGAAGCTATATTCATAAAACAGTTGAAACCTATCCGGAACAAAATAAACTATGAAAATTCCGCAAAAATACTCAAATGCCTATAGTTGATAACAGAAGTCATCGGTTTATACCAACGGCTTCCTATGCTTAACACTTTTCGTTTTCACTGTCTTCGTGATCATGTGTGATTTTCGCTTCCAGCGTCTCGTATGCACGATTTTGTTGTTGCTACGAAATCTTCTTTTGCCATGTCCGTGTATTGTTTAATATATTGTAATGTTATTGTCATCTATGATGATGGCTTATGTAAGCCGAAATCTTAGGATTAAAAAACATTTCATTAAATAATATAGACAAGTGTTGTCTATTTATTTTATGTAAATTCTTTTCATAGCGTCTGATAAACTTAATAACATTATCATTAAACGAAGAAAGAAAATCACAATATTCATACAGATTTGTTAATCCAATCTAAGCTTTCGGCTTACATAAGTCATTATCAAAGATGACAGATAGATAGATAGATAGATAGATAGATAGATAGATAGATAGATAGATAGATAGATAGATAGATAGATACCCTGACGTTTGAACAGATTGATTGCTGGAGGATTCGTCTACGAAACTCTAGAGTTGGGATATTGAAGGTAAAACCAATCAGCTAATTGACAAAATTTATAATTGTGTGTGTGTGTGTGTGTGTGTGTGTGTGTGTGTGTGTGTGTGTGTGTATATATATATATGTACATACATACACACACACTTCTATAGATAAATAAATACATACGTACGTAAATGTAATGATGCATTCGGAATAACAATAAAAAATGATGCATTCGGAATAACAATAAAAATTATATATAGAAAAAGAAAATGGACACACCTGTAAAAAATGTCACGCATACAAAGAACAAGATAGGAGCACACATGCAGGGACGATCATCGATAGGAGAAGATAGAGGAGAAGCTGTCATGAATGGAAACACAGAAAACTCAATACACATATACACAGACAAGCATGCACAACGAGTAAGGGACATGTACGCTGAAACACAGGACATATGTTGATGCCAAAGACAAGTGCATTTTACTGTTGCCTAGCAACAAACACCCGGTGTTCAGCTCAACACTTTGTTGTTGATGTTTTAGTTTGATTATTATTTTTTTTTTTTTTTTTTTTTGCCTTTCCTGTTTGTGATGCTTGAACTGCCATTGCAGAAAGAAGCGGCCTTTAATTAGACTTGATAAGTGATACATTACGTTATCAGCGAAAAGGAGCAATAAATGAAAGGGTGGTTGGGTAGAAGACGGGTGAAAAATGCGGAGCATAGGAAGGATTATGAACGAAATATGAAATGAGGTAAGAAAGGCAGAAAGAGAAAAAGAGAGCAACAACAACAACAACAACGAGAACAACAACAACATAAAAAAAAGATGGCTGGAAACGAAAAGAATGAAAATGGAGAAAAGAATGAGAATAGGATGAAAGCAGGAAAAGGAAAAATAAAAAAAAGAAGGAATCATGTTAAAAAAAGAAAATAAAAGGAAAAATAAAAGAAATATTTTAAGTAGCGAAAGACAACACCTCCCAAAATGAAAGTTGCATATATATATATATATATATATATATATATATATATATATATATATATATGAAAATTAAGAGTGACACCAATATCAGGTGGTTTATATTCCTAATTAAGATGCAAAGAAAGAAAGAAAGAAAGAAAGAAAAGAAAGAAAGAAAGAAAGAAAGAAAGTAGAAAAACGAACAAAGATGGGGAAGGGGAAAATGGTGTGTAAAAGAAAGAAAGAAAGAAAAAAGAAAAGAAAGAAAAGAAAGAAAGAAAGAAAGAAAGAAAGAAAGAAAAAGTAGAAAAACGAACAAAGAGGGAGGAGGAAAAATGGTGTGAGAAAGAAAGAAAGAAGGAAAGTAGAAAAAACGAAAAAAGGGAAGGAAAAAAATGGTGTTTGAAAAAAGAAAGAAAGAAAAAAAAAAAAGAAAGAAAAGAAAGAAAGAAAGAAAGAAAGAAAGAAAGAAAGAAAGAAAGTAGAAAAACGAACAAAGATGGGGAAGGGGAAAATGGTGTGTAAAAGAAAGAAAGAAAGAAAGAAAGAAAGAAAGAAAGAAAGAAAGAAAGAAAGAAAGAAAGAAAGAAAGAAAGAAAGTAGAAAAACGAACAAAGAGGGAGGAGGGAAAAATGGTGTGAGAAAGAAAGAAAGAAAGAAGGAAAGTAGAAAAACGAAAAAGGGGAAGGGAAAAATGGTGTTTGAAAGAAAGAAAGAAAGAAAGAAAGAAAGAAAGAAAGAAAGAAAGAAAGAACTATGTGCAACAAGAGAAGGAAACAGGTAAAAGAAAACCGGATAAGATTTTAAAATGAGACTTTTTTTTTCGAAAAATGAAAGAGAAAGGAACGTTAAAACGAGTTAGGAAAAAAGGAATGATTAACAAAGATTCCAAAGGAAATAAAAATGAATAAATGAACAAGTGTAAAAGGGCAAGCAAAAAATACAAAGAACAAAAACGAAACAAGAAAAAAAATGAAACAATTTAAAAAGAAATGAGTAATCATGTAAAGAAATAAAATTTAAGAAATAAATAGAAAGAACTGCGAAAGAAATGTATATAGGCGGTTTGTTTGTTTCTCTCTCTCACTCTCTCACTCTCTCTCTCTCTCTCTCTCTCTCTCTCTCTCTCTCTCTCTCTCAGTATTTTTTGTCTCTTACTCTCTTTATAGCTTTCTCTCTGTGCGCACGTGCGTCTGGCTAAACGTTTCTAAGTTTTGGGGGAGATAGGGCGAAAATAAGAAGTGGGTAGATAGAAAGAAAGAGATGAGAATCCTGGGGACAAGGAGAGGAATTGAAATATTATAAACATTAGTGTGTCACTTTGCTGGAAATGTGTTGGCCTCTTGAAACTGATCAGGTTGGACTCGCGGTGGTAGAAAAGAGGAAAAGAGAGAGAGAGAGGAAAAGAGAGAGAGAGAGAGAGATAGAGAGAGAGCGGGTAGGCTGATAAATTAATTGAAAGACAGTGAAGGATCAGTAGGGTAGATTTGGAAGGTGTTGGCGCTGGAGATAAATTGATGGCCAAACAGACATGCAAAGAAACTCGTCGATCAAGACAATTTGCTTGAAAAAAAAAATCACTTATGAAAAGAATTCGATTTCTCTCTCTCTCTATCTCTCCCTCTTTCATCTTTCTTTCTTTCTTTCTCTCTTACACGCACAAACACAACACACAAGCGCGTACATATTATTTACAATGTGCTAAACTTACACGCATATTATTTAAAATGTGCTAAACTCACACGCATATTATTTAAAATATAATAAACTCACACGCATATTATTTAAAATGTGATAAACTCACACGCATATTATTTAAAATGTGATAAACTCACACGCATATTATTTAAAGTATGATAAACTCACACGCATATTATTTAAAATGTAATAAACTCACACGCATATTATTTAAAATGTAATAAACTCACATGCATATTATTTAAAATGTAATAAACTCACATGCATATTATTTAAAATGTAATAAACTCACACGCATATTATTTAAAGTGTGATAAACTCACACGCATATTATTTAAAATGTGATCAACTCACACGCATATTATTTAAAGTGTGATAAACTCACACGCATATTATTTAAAATGTAATAAACTCACACGCATATTATTTAAAATGTAATAAACTCACATGCATATTATTTAAAATGTAATAAACTCACACGCATATTATTTAAAGTGTGATAAACTCACACGCATATTATTTAAAATGTGATAAACTCACACGCATATTATTTAAAATGTAATAAACTCACACGCATATTATTTAAAATGTAATAAACTCACATGCATATTTTTTAAAATGTAATAAACTCACACGCATATTATTTAAAGTGTGATAAACTCACACGCATATTATTTAAAATGGGATAAACTCACACGCATATTATTTAAAATGTGACACCTCTACTTTAACGGCCTGCATATATAACGGGCTGCGTTTATAGGTCACTGGAAGATTTAGGGAAGTGGGAGAGAAAATGAAACCGACAGTTACAAATTTCTTTTTTTAGTGTTAATGATGAAAGCTGTCTATTGTCATGAATTTATTGCTTATTTATAACGATTACCTTGTTGAAAGAAGTGTACCTGTAAATAGGTTAGAGTTAATTATAGTTATGACCTCTACATTCTTATATAAATTTATTATCTTATTCATTTACATTTTTCGTTCACCATATTTTATATATACTATATATATTCGCGTATCATGCAACCTTTGAAGACCTAATTCTGAAGCTAATTTGACTACAGTAATTGAATACATAGTTTGGTCAATGACGTAGCCACAACGAGCAGTACATACAATAATTTTATATCTTGTGTATAATGCGACCCCCTTAAAATTAACTTCAAAAATATGTATTCAAAAGTCGAATACTACGCGAGTATATACAGTATATGTTTTGTATACAAATGAGCAAAAGAAATAAATGAAGTGATAAATGCAAATGATAATCGCTCAATAGCTTATATATATATATATATATATATATATATATATATATATATATATATATATACTTCCAAATCTGAAGATCGCACTGAGGCAATGAACTAGCTGTTACCAACCAATATTGATTTATATACCTACTATTTTCTCCTGTCTCTCTCTGTCTCTCTCACTCTCCCTATATATATATATATATATATATATATATATATATATATATATATATATATGCACATTTCATTGAAAACGACAGACAAGGTGCTTTTATTTATTTTTTTTTATACAATTTCTCATGCGATCTAATATTTTTTTTCTTTTCGGGTGATAAATTATATAAAAACTGTCCGAATGTGCTTTTTATCTAAGCGCTTTCGGCTATACATTTAGCCATTTTCAAGGATTATATTTCAACTGTTAAAATAAAAAAAATGTGCATGAAAGAAGGATTGCTGCTTAAATACACACACAGACACACACACACAAACACACACACACACATATATATATATATATACTCTCCCTTTTCATATATGCATATATATATGTATATATTCACATATATTTCATATATATATATATATATATATATATATATATATATATATATATATATATATATATGTATATATTCACATATATTTCATATATATATATATATAAATTTTTTATAAAAAAATTATAACATAAGTATGCTATAAAAAAAATTATAACGTAAGTATGTTATAAAAAATAATTATATCTGCTCTACTTTGTATTGAGTACTCATTTAAGAATAGTAATTGTTGGTTATTGGAATTCATTCCGTATATACCAATTATATACTATATATATATATATATATATATATATATATATATATATATATATATATATTCACCAGAAATTACAGCAAACATTCGAACATTAAAACGGCTCATGATCAGACATAACAGACATTCATTTAATATTATTATTTAATATTAT